CGGCGTGAATTGCTGGCGATTGTGTTTTTTATACAGCAATTCAGGCCGTATCTGTATGGCCGTCACTTTACGGTTCGCACGGACCATGCGGCTCTCCAATACGCTATGCGGGTGGCGCAGCCATCCGGCCAATTGTCCCGATGGTTGGAGGTCCTTCAGGACTACCAATTCACGACGATTTACCGCAAGGGGTTGCGCCACTCGAATGCGGATGCATTGTCACGGTTGCCGACGCGTACGGAATGCGCATGTCAGTTGGGATCGGCGCGGTGTAAACCTTCTGTCGATGTCCCCGCGGAAGTGGTGCTAGTCGCCACAGATACTACGGGGGTCGACGCCCCCACGGGGAGGGACTCGCTGTTAGCATTGCCTCTCATCGAGTGGGGCCGTCTGCAAATGGCCGACAGCTCCCTACTCGCGCTACGTCAGAAGGTTAACGTTCCCGAGGGCGGGGAAACGCGGGTCGGTTCCTGGGTGTGCAGACAGGGCCTCTTGATGAAGTGGGACTCCATGTCCCGGCGTCACATGCTTGTGGTGCCGGTTGCTGTACGGGGTAAGGTCGTCCTGGCTGCCCATGAACGACTCATGCATCTGGGGTTTCACAAAACGCTCGCCCTCATTCAGCGAGACTACTATTGGCCTGGGATGGACAGTGACGTGGCGAACATTCTTAAGGGGTGTGTAGGGTGCGCTAAAAGAAAACCGCCGCAAATAGCGGCTAATCCACCGCTTCAATCCATTCAAGTTTCGCGCACGAACGAATTGGTCGCGCTAGACATCTTGGGGCCCTTTCCCACTACACCTCGGGGAAATAAGTTCCTGCTGGTTGGCGTAGAGTACTTCACCCGCTGGCCCATGGCGTGGCCACTCGCCAACCAGTCGGCTGCGGCAGTGGCGGACGCCTTTGTCCAAGGTTACGTTTTGGACAAAGGCGCCCCCGAACGCTTGCTGACGGATCAAGGGAAAAACTTTTCGAGTGTTTTGTTGCGCGAGGTGTGCGACCTGTTGGGTACAAAGAAAGTACGTACCTCCCCGTACCACCCGCAGACTGACGGTATGGTTGAACGTCTGAACAGGACGATTACGTCTATGCTGTGCCAACAGGTATGCGACGACCAGGTGGATTGGGACTTACAGGTACCGGGGGTACTAGCGGCCTATCGGATGGCACCCCATGCGGCGACGGGGTTTTCTCCATTTTTTCTGATGTATGGGCGGGAGGCTGATCCGGCCATGGACGTCCAACTGGGGATTTCACAGCCACGTGCGAAATCTAAATTGGCAGACCACATTAAGTTTAACATCGCCAAATTGGCTGAGGCGCGAGAGGCTGCGAGATTGAATTCACGCTCTCGGCAGATCGCGAACGAGCGATTGCATGAACGGAAGGTGCATACGCACAATTGGGAACCGGGCGATAAGGCCTGGCTGCATTGTCCACACGCACCGTTGGCTACGTCCCCCAAACTGTTGAGACCATGGAGGGGACCGGTGGAAATTGTGCGGGTTGCACGACCCCAGAGTATACAGATTAAATGGGGAAAAACGCCGTTGGTACGTGCACTCCTCCCGACTGAAACCCTACGCGGCGCCGCGTGACCCCGGGTTGTGCCGTGACGACCGAGCGTGTGATGTGACCGTCGACTCGGGGAGGGATGTGTCGCAGGCTGATCCTCACGTGTCTCCACCTGACCCACCCCCAGGTGTCTCGGACCTGACGGCTGTTGACCGTCGGGAACCGGAACCCCGCGGCTCGCACGGAGCCCCGATGCCTGGCCCATGCCTTCCTGAACTGCCGGCGCCGCCGGATGGCCAACTTGCGTCCTGTGCCGTACGACGGTCCGGCAAGGCGGACTCGGTCAAGGACGCAACACTTTTCATGAAAAAAAAAAAAAAATATATTCTTTTTTTGTTAAAGCCCGACTTCGTTGCCGGCTTCCCCCTCTGCCGGGGTAATGTCCCGTTCAAGGGACGCTCGGACATTGGGACGCTGCATGAGTCGGAGAGAAAAGAAGAGAAAATGATTAAAGAAATTTTTTTTTATTGTTACTCTTTCCGCATACACAGTATCGTTGCCACTCGCCGGATTGTGCATGTTGTTCTTGTTGCGGGTGTGGCGGTTGCTGGGTTTTGCGGATTGCGGTGTTCATGTTGTGTTGTTAGGGTGTTATGTTACGGGGCACACATGGGAGTGAAGGGGTGTTGTATGTTTTATTAGCAGCCGGGTCGGCTGCGAGCTATGTGGTAGGGGGTGATGTAGTGGTGGTATTGACGTGCGCCGGCAGTGATGGATCACGGGGCGCGGGGTTGGGCACGCGGTGTGGGCGTGGCATGGACGCGCGCGCCGGTGGTGAGGCGCGCTCACACAAGCTGGGAAAAGAGGATCGTAGCGAGTGCGCAGTGATTGGTCAGATAAGTGGGTACTCTCAGCGACGTCCGCAGGAGGGGTATAAAGGGGGACGCGCGAGAGCACTCGTGGTCAGTGTTAACCAGTTGAAGACCGAAGACGGGGTGGAGGAGGTAGGGGCCCTGTGTGGCTCGGAGCCGAGACTGGGGGGACCGTAGTCCGACGCCCGTGTGGGTCGGGACGGTGGTACCCAGAGCCGAGACGGGCACCCCGGCTGGGTGTGTCCCGGAAGGCTACGGGGCGTAAGAGCCCGTGTCAGTACAGCTGAGTGGGTGTTGGTCACCCGTGTAGCTGAGTGGGTGTTAGTCACCCGTGTAGCTGAGTGGGTGTTGGTCACCCGTGTAGCTGAGTGGGTGTTAGTCACCCGTGTAGCTGAGTGGGTGTTGGTCACCCGTGTAGCTGAGTGGGTGTTGGTCACCCGTGTAGCTAAGTGGGTGTTGGTCACCCGTGTAACGAAGTTGTAGCTGAGTGGGTGTCCGTCACCCGTGTAGCTAAGTGGGTGTTGGTCACCCGTGTAACGAAGTAGGGTGTTAGTCATCCGTGTAACTACAAGTTGGTGAAAATAAAGAGTGTGCTACCCGTGAAGTCGTCTCCTGCCGAGTTACTACTTTACAGATATGGTAGTTTAATCGTCTTAATAACCTGATTGCTTTCAGCAGTATTGCTGTTCGATCTTGGTTTGGCATTCAATGCTCTGTTAATTTGAGCATTGATGTAGCCAATCATTTGTAGCGCTTCTTTAACATGTTTAATCTCTCTCCTCAGACTTTCACCATCTGACACTGTTTTAGCCCGATGTATGAGCATCTTGATGAGAGAGGATTTCAGTGCGAGGTGATGATGTGAATCTGCATTCATATAGGCATCAGTGTGGGTTCCCTTTCGGTAAACGGTGTGTTATTTTTTTGCACGCTTTTATTTAACTCACTCTGTCTGTTGTTGTTGTCGTATCCTCAAATCTTGTAACTCAATTTTAACCTACTTCCCAATGTGGTATCGACTGCAAACTTGGTATACTTATGTCATACTGATGACAATACTATATTCTATCATTAAAATAATAATAAATATTGTTAAACCATCTTTTTTATATGTTATGTTTCGCCTTGGGTCTCATTGTCCACGCTCAAGTCACGTTGGTTATAAATCACCACGGCCACTTCCTGGAGTCATGGAGTTATGCCATTATGTGTACGGTACATTTCATTAAAGCGTGTTTAAATTTTTTAAGTATATATTACTTATTTTACCATTTAGGCCGCATCCGAGCAAAATATCTAGGAAAGGGAGCATGTTATTCAAATCCATTTCCATGGTGAACTGGATGGCCGGATTTTGTGAATTGAGATGATTTAGAAATTCATTAAGTGTATCTTTACCATGTGGCCAGACAACCAAAGTGTCAAATACATATCTAAACCAAAAAGATGGTTTTAATGTACTTGCAAGTGCTCTTGCTTCAAAGATTCAGACCGTATTGGTCACCCCTTGCCTTTAAAAATCTCAACGTTCATCCTAAAAAGTCCCATCACAAGGGAAAACACGAACAAATAGACAATATTTGTTTTGTTGCCCATATTGAAACGGCTGTACGCCGTATGGACCTGAAAGTCCAATTTCCCAATGAAACAATACTGGGTAAACCGCGTGGGTTGACAGGTATGGTGAACACCGCCGGTGAACCCAATGAAACAATACTGGGTAAACCGCGTGGGTTGACAGGTATGGTGAACACCGCCGGTGAACCCAATGAAACAATACTGGGTAAACCGCGTGGGTTGACAGGTATGGTGAACACCGCCGGTGAACCCAATGAAACAATACTGGGTAAACCGCGTGGGTTGACAGGTATGGTGAACACCGCCGGTGAACCCAATGCGGTCTGCGATCCCTCAACGGAGGAGGAGGAAGAGCCACAACGACGCAAACTCTCTCTGCTGAAGCCCTCTCGCCGTGGCCAGGAAAAGGTCTCGACATTGGCCTGTAGCTCCTGAGTATAGTGCTGCCTAAGGCAATAATAGAATACTGTAGTCCATGGACAACTACACTATAAACTAAACTGTGTTTTTATTTTTATCAGGTAAGGCCCGCTGAGCTGTAGAGCTATTTTTTTCAGAATCGACCTGGCTATCACAAATGATAGCTCAACGAAGTGGCTTATCATGTCAGAATCAGAATATTGATTTATCCTGGAGAAATCCGATGAGCTATAAAGCTCTTTTTTCCACATATTGTCCAGTAGGGGTTGGTCAGAAAGTTACCACAACAAACAATACAAAACACGATAGCAGTGCAAAGTATAGGAGAGGTAAACAAATAACCTTGAAAAACATATATTCTTTCTTACTAGCTGAAGCCCACTGAACTATTAATTTATTTTTAAGAAGCAATCTGGCCACAGATAATAGCTCAACCAAGTGGCTTGTCACGTGGAAATGTATTGCAGCTAAATCCCGTTGGACTCCGCTCGCTGGCAATTATGTGGGTTTTTTTTTTTCCGGAGCTCAGCCACAGCTCCACCCACCACCGGAACTAAAAAAACCGGGCTGCGTTTCCTCTTCGCAGCCCGGACGATTTTCTGTTGGGACATGCGGCCTAGTCTTCCTCCGCGGCCTCGCGGCTCCTCGCGCCACAGGCTCCCGCCTCCTAGCAGAGTGCCTCCGGTGTAAAACAGATTAACACAAACTCTCTTAACCCTCCGCTCCGTCTTCACGTCCAAGTTGAATTCTCACCTCGAGCGTCTTAAACTCTGAGCGCTGAGCGAGGGAACGGCACCCGAGGCGGCCGGGAGGCTCCAGGGACCGCGGTGAACTTAACCCCCACCACCCCCCTCTCTCCCTCCCTCCCTCCCTCCCTCCCCCGTTGTAAATGATAAACTCAACGTTTTATAAGTGTTGTAGTTTAGACGGCGAGGTGAGATGTTGCGCCGCGAAGTGATTGAGTGAAGGGGAAGCGTCGCCCGATTCGTGGCCGAGGTGAGAGCGCGCGCCGCCCTCACGCGAGTCGAGCACCCGCATTGGGGGTGGTGGTGGTGGCGGCGGCGGCTCGCGCGACCAGTATCATCGGTGAGAGGTGTATCTACGGGGTTTGAGCGCGTAAATATATACATGCGTCGTGAAACCCGCCACCACCCGACGCCATGGGGCAATTAGCAAGGTTTGTCACGTAAACAGAACGTGTCAATTCGTGACTGGTACAGCAACACCGGTTGTGTGTTGGAGAGCCAAGCCACAACATTTACAATCTGAGCCCGACGTTTCGCCAGTAATTACAAGCGCCATCATCAGGGGGACAGCAGCCAGACTTGTCCTCCTGTTGCGCGATGCATCACGTGGACGTGACATACACAATGCGGATGGACGCGCACTCGTCACGCGAACGTGGAAGTGTCAACAGCCAGTTCGTCGTGGCACGAGCGTTCACGGCGGGATCTGACGCGAATGGCGTTGACGTGTCTGTCACGGAGTCACTGAAACTGACACCAGCGTCACTGTGACACTGACACTGAGGCACTGTGTCACTGTGGCAATGCGGTGGTCAAGCACTGGATGTGGTCGCCGCGAGCTGTCACCCCCCCCCCCACAACGCGCGGTGTCTGACGCTCGCGGCGCGCCTTATCGTTCCGCGATACCAGCACTCGACACTGGGACAACGTTGCACGAGCAGTGTGTGCGTGCCCGTGCTGTGATGATGTTACACCGGCACTGTGATGATGTTACACCGGCACTGTGACATCGACATTGTGACACCAGCACTGTGACACTGACACTGTGACAATTGATTTTGCAGGTAATTGGAGTCCACTCGTCTTCCAGTCGAATGGCGTGGCTCTGCCCGTTCTGCTAACGTCATCATCGCCTCTCCTCGTCCACCTCGTTCGCAGTCGCCTCACCCCCCCTCCCGCCTCCACCCTCCCAATCTCCTCCACGCTCCCCATCTCCTCTCGACCTTCACCACATCTCTCCTTTCTGGCCGCCTTGCCCTCGCATATCCTCCATCTCTAAGCCCTCTCTGCTTTCTCCTCCACCGCAATCTTTCATCCAATTATCCTGCATCTCCACTGCCTCGCGGTTTACTCTCCTTCCTCTTCTGCTGACCTCTTCCTCCAGCTCCTCTATATCGTCCTCTTACCCCCACCATTCGCACCTCCTCCCTACCACTACCATTTTCACCACCTCCTCCCCTCCACCGACACCATGACGGTTCGCCCGTGCCCCGACCACTGCGTCTCCATCATGACGACGCTGAGCGCCCAACGCCTCTCGGGCTCCTCGCTCTGCGACCTGGCGCTCATCGTCCACGTCCCTCCTCCTGCTCCTCCTCCTGCTGCTGCTGCCGCAGCATCATCGGGATGTGGCACAACCAGGCGGAGGAGGGGCGTGGGGAGGGAGCTCGGCCGAGGGAGAGCCGGGGGAGCGGAGGGAGCTGGTGGGGGAGCTGGTGGGGGAGCTGGTGAGGGAGCTGGTGGGGGAGCGGAGGGAACGGGAAGTGGTGCCGGGGAGCTCGTGGTTCTGATGCCGTGCCATCGCGCCGTGCTGGCCGCGTGCAGCCCTCTCTTTCGAGACGCCGTCGTCGAGACGTGTGGGGACGTGCAGGATAGCGGCGGCGGCGGCGCCGGCGGCGATGCTAACGACGTGGGGACAGACCGGTGGGAACGCGCGTGGGAGGACGGGGAGATGGTCGGGAACGAGGGGACCTCGGCCGGGAGCAATGGCCACGCGGTGAGCGAAGGAAGTGGCGTTGATGTGGCCGTGAGGACAGAGGAGGAGGAGGCGGCGGATGCAGCCGATGCGAGAGACCAGACGTCGGCTGAGAAGGACGGCCTTGGCGCAGCCATCGGAAACGACGGTGGGGGCGCAGCCGCGACGGAAGAGGCGACAGCTCTGGAAGAAGGGGAGACGATGACGAGGGATGAGCAAACGAATGTGAAGGAAGGAGAGGAGGTTCTGTGGAAAGAGGGAGATGCCGTTCTCAAGGAAGAGCAGGCGGTCCTGAAGATTGTGGAGATAGTGATTGGAGAGACAGTTTTAAGTTGTTATCAGACGGCTGAGGAGCACAGCAGCAGTGCAGTAACTGAGAGAAGTAACCCGGAGACAGCTGTGGCAGAAGAGGAGGAACCTGTAAGGGATGCGGAGATGGCCACGAGGAATGAGACGCCGACGATTCATCCCAGCTCGCTGGGACAGTGGATTCCTCGTCTCCGACCAGGTTTCCCTCGCCATGTCACAACGCATTGGCCTGCCCCTAGCAATACACAAGTAAACACGACTGTCAAGTTAAGTCAATCTTTTTGCGATTGTGGCTCGGTGGCTCGGAGGTCAATCAAAGCGCTGAGCTGGGTTCAAATGCGGAAAACTTTCAAATGGCTCGCAGCTCTTGTCATATGCAGAAAAAGAAAATTGGTGAAATAATTGCACGTGAATACTGGGCAGACTTGTTCAATTTTAAATACAGTTAATGCAGCATCGTTAGCTGAAAACTACAATTACATTACAATCACCAGTTTTAATTTGGCCCCTTTACACTGCAATTGATCAAATCGCACTGAAAAAAAGAGCTTACAGAATATAATTAATTTTAATTGCAAAAATGTTTTTCACGATTATGGCCATGCGTCATGAACATGAGCTTGTAATGGATGAGGCATGCCTTGTGTTAATCTGTGTTCCTTGCACGTTTGTGTTCACCCCACGTGTTGTGTTTGTGCCTGTCCATGTGTTTCTTTTTCACTTTGCCTCCCCTGTGCATGCATGCCTCTATGTGTGTCCACGGCTGGAGGAGTGGTGGCACAACGGTTAGACATTACGCTACGAACCCGAGTGACGAATATTTGAATCGGTGCTGGGCCACCCCTAGGACGACTCTTCCTCAAATGAGTACCGGATGCGGTGTGTAAACAACATCGCCACTGGGCGTGGTGCTGGCCACCCACCCCCTCGTGTGCTGTAACCGGCCTTCACAGGTGCTCGCTAACAGTACTTGCCATAACAGTCTGTTAAGGAGGATCTTTAATGTCTTTTTAAATCCTTTATATTAAGTTTGCGTGCTTGCTTGCTTGCTTAGGACCGTGCAAATCTTTCGGTCGTTTTTTAACCCACTTCCCGTGATCCAATCGAGCTGACATTTTCCACACAGACTCGTTGTGCCAGACAATTATTATTCGTGAAAAAAAATTCCCAAAATTTTACACTTTTTAGGCAAAAAACATTTATTTTACATATATTCAAATATAACGCATTCATGGCTTTGGCTGAACATCACAGTGCAAGAGCCCAGAGCGTAACCCCTCCACAGGCCATGGTGGAGTAGCCTAGTTAGTAGCGCCCTCGCTTCCCATGCCAAAGGTCGCGGGATCGATCCCCGCGTCCTCCACAGGCGAATATATTTTTTAATCCTTTATATTAAGTTCGCTTGCTTGTGTAGAGGTGTAATTGCGCATGGCTACGAATGTTGAGGTGTGATTATGCATGGCCACGGATGGCCAACAAACACAAGGGGCGGGGTTACGGCCGTACACAAGGGTGGCGCTAGCACCGACGTCCGCATGTGTATCCCCCACGGGCCCCCCCTCGGGGGCGAGTCCTATAAAAGGTGATGAGCTCGAGGGCTCGAGGTGGGGACTCAGCTTTAACCAGAGAAGACGGAAGACCAGCTAGTGTAGGCCCCAGAGCTCCCCTGGCTCGCTGTCCTTATAAGGGCCGACCAGGGCAAGCCGGTGGCGTGGCCCCGAGAGCCCAGACGAAGCTGGTCTGGTGACTCAGGGAGCCGGGATCCCAGCTTAACCAAGCTGGGACAGATAGCCTCCCCTAGTCCCGTAGTGGAGGAATTGGTATAGGTTAGAGGGGTTAGCTGTCGAGAATCCCTGTAGCCAAGTGACCTGTAATAACTGTGTTGGTGTAATAAATAAGTGTGCCTCCGATCCTGTCGTCAAGCCTCCATATATACTTACTACATCTGGGGTCAGAAGTAAACGTCCAACGATGGACACACGAGGGACGACACGTACCAGGGAGTCGGAGATGGAAGACGCCGCGGCCGAATCACCACCAGAGATGGCCGGGGTCGATTCGGAGCAGCCGGGGCCGAGTACGCCCGCGCCGCTACGACAGGAGGAGGGGGATGCGTCGGCCGAAGGACTCCGGCTGGCCCACTCCCGCCTGGCGGACCTGCTCTACGCCGCGGCCGCCGCGTTGGAGGAGATCACGCGGCTGGGGGCTGGAGGAGCAGCGCGGGTCGACGACGGCAGCCGGCGCGGGGCGACGTTTCCCGCCACCCCGACGCGGCTCGCGGTCAAATTTCCCGCCATATCTACAGTACGAGCGGAGGGCGGGGCCGGCCCGCGTCACGTGTCTGCTGAGCGCCAAGCACAAGCCGTGACATCATCAACGCCGGCCGGCGCGTCAACATCGGAGCGACCGGCGATGCCATGTGCACGGCCCGCCCACACTGTATCATCGGCGGGGAGCGACGGAGAGCGTTCTGCGGCCACGGACGCCGCCTTACAACAGCGTCTGCCGCCTCTTAAAGAATTTGTCGGCGCTGACGGAGACTGGGGCGGCTTCAAGAGGCGGTTCATCGCTCATCGAGATGGCGAACTGGTCGGACGCCGAGGCCCTACGCGCGCTGCCAGCGATGCTGGACAACGACGCCCTGGCTACCCTCACCTCGGCGCCGAGGGAAAAGCGCGCCACTCTACACCTGGCGTTGCAGCTGCTGTCAGCCGTCTATGGGCCGCCTTCGGACTGCAGGCAGCTGTTCCACGATCGGAGTCGGGGCGCCAACGAGTCACCCCTGGCCTTCCGGACGGCCCTCCTGGCTCTGGCGAAGGCTGCTTTCCCAAGGATGGACGAGGAAGGAGTGGATGCCATGGTGGCCGAGAAGCTGCTGCTACTCGCTGACGAGCTGGACGTCAACGTCCTGGCTCAGGACGACGCGGAGATGTCGTCCCTGCTGGTCGCGCGCCACATCCATGGGGGCTTGCGGTCCCTGCGTCGAAAGGCGGCAAAGGGGGCGGCCAGCCATGCCATGGCGGCTACCGCCCTCCCATCGGAGGAGGTCTGCGGGGTGGAGCGGCGAGGGGAATGGAGAGCGGCGGCACCACAGGCTCGGAATGGACCGAGCCGCCAGGAGCAGCCCAGGACATCGGGGGCGCTCACACGCTGCTACAACTGTGGCCTGCAAGGCCACGTTGCGTCAGGATGCCGGGCTCCCCGTCAGCGCGGGGCGACACCTCGTCAGGACGCCACGCCGTCTCCTCCCAAGCTCCAGCAGAGAAATACGGCGAGTCGCGGCACCTCACACGTTTGGCCCACGCACACATCCGACACACACTCACGCGCTCAACCAAACAGGGCTCCAAATTCCCCGTCCGTCGCGCGCGATTGTTCTATAATGCGGCGAGCGCTCCAACCGGGTCAGTGGTCGGAGCTCGCCCATCGTGTCGTTGCTGCGTCGGCGGGATCATCGGTTGTGGTCGGTCATATTGATGGGGTAGAGGTGCGGATTTTAATTGACACAGGGGCATCGGCGACCATTATATCTGATTTGATTTATAACATCCTTCCCGTTCAAAGTCGTCCCTTGCTCCCTGTTGACGTGCCATGCTATGCTGCTAACGGGGGCTCGCTGGGCATTATTGGGCAAATCCGCGCCACTATCTGCATTGGAGACATTAAATTATCCGGGCATGTTTTGGTTTCCTCCTCACTCGTGGTTCCGTGCCTGTTGGGGACGGATTTCTTGGCCAAAATGCCCATCCGCATCCTGATTGACCAGGGGTGCATTGAGCTCCCATCGGGCCGACGCGTTACATTTTTGTCTTCCCCCACCACGGAGCGCCGGGCGTTTGCCACCGTGCAGGCGCTCGTGACAAAAACTGTGCGCGTACCTCCGGGGGCTCAGATGCTCGTCCCTCTTAGGTTGCGTCGGCCGTTTAATGAAGGGGTTGCGGATCGGGGGGTCTTGTTGGGACCATCTCGGGCCGGGGTAAATGGACCCGATTTGCTCGCGGCTCAGACCATGGTGAGAGGGGATGGGGACCCCTTCATTGCAGTCCTTAATGTGGGATCGCGAACGGCCGTGGTTCCTCAAGGGACCGTGCTTGCACACGCAACGCCGGTACCCTATGAGGAACCACTCGTGGGTCAGGTATCCACCGATCCTCCGTCGCGACCGCATTCGGACTGTGATGACGGATGGCTGGATGCGCTTTGCGCGGGTTCAGTGGACCTGTCCGACTCGCAGCGCGCGCAGCTGCGAGTTCTCCTGAGCGAATTTGCTGACGTTTTTAGTCACACAATTTGATATTGGTTGTACTAAATGGCTGCGACACCATATTGACACGGGTGACAGCGCGCCAATCCGCCAAATCCCTTTCGGTTGAGTCCCGCCGAAAAAGGATCATGTCAAATCGGCTGTTGATGACATGCTAGCCGCCGATATCATTTCCCCTTCAACAGCCCGTGGGGCGCGCCGATCGTTTTGGTGAAAAAACATGAAGGCTCACTGAGATTTTGTGTCGACTTCGGCGTCATCAACAAAATCTCTGTGGCAGATGCGTACCCAGCTTCCTCGGATGGATGAGTCGCTCGACGCCCTGCGCGGTGCGCGATTCTTTTCCACCCTCGATTGCTATCAGGATTCTGGCAGCTTCCTCTGGATGACGAATCAAAACCTAAGACTGCTTTTCGTACACCGCAAGGTCTCTTCCAATTTAACCGCTTGCCGATGGGTTTACATTCTGCGCCGGCAACTTTTCAGCGGTTAATGGAATTGGTCTTGGCAGGTTTGCAATGGGATTCGTGTTTGATTTACTTAGACGATATCATCGTCTTTAGCAAATCCTTCGAGGAACACCTCCAGAGGTTGCGTGCTGTTTTTCTCAAAATGCGGGCTGCCAATTTGAAATTTAAACCACAGAAGTGCCATTTACTCCGCGAATCGGTGCGATATTTGGGTCACATTGTTGGGCGCTCGGGGATATCCACTGATCCCGCCAAAACGGAATGCGTCAGCTCCTGGCCGACTCCCACCTCTGTGGGAGAGGTCAGGAGTTTCATTGGGTTCGCGTCGTATTATCGGCGATTTGTGGCTGACTTCGCTACGATTGCGAAACCATTGCATAACACGGGCATCGGGGGCGTGCTGTCCCAGCTCATTGGGGGCGTAGAGCATGTGGTGGCTTACGGTAGTCGGGTACTGTCTCCAGCCGAACAGCGGTACTGCGTTACCCGTCGGGAATTATTGGCGATTGTTTATTTCATTCAGCAGTACCGCCCGTATCTGTACGGTCGGCGGTTCACCGTCCGTACAGATCATGCGGCCCTACAATACGCCCTGCGGGTTCAACAACCATCGGGCCAGTTGTCTCGATGGTTGGAGATTCTCCAAGACTATGACTTTGTCACCACATATCGTAAGGGTCTTCGCCACACGAACGCTGACGCCATGTCGCGATTGCCACCCACTTCGGAGTGCGCGTGCCTCTTGGGTTCGGGGCGTTGTAGGTCTCCGAACGTCACCACCGATTCGGTCCTCGTGGCCGCTGCCGATGCGCCTTCGGTTTCGGGTCCTATCGAGCAAGAAGGGAGGGATTCGTTGCTGGGGTTGTCGGTCGCGGAATGGGGTCGCCTCCAAATGGAGGACACCTCCCTCCTCGCTCTGCGCCGTCGCGCCGGGGGGGTTGGCCAGGGGGTGGAAAACGTTGACTCGTGGGGGTTGTTCCAGGGACTTTTAATGCACTGGGATGGTAAAACCCGGCGCCAGCGGCTCGTGGTGCCTGCTGCTTTAAGGGGTAAGGTGGTATGGGCTGTTCATGAGTGGCTTCTGCACTTGGGGGTTCACAAGACCTTTGCCACGCTCCAGCTAGATTTTTTTCTGGCCGGGCATGGAAAAGGACTTGGGGGATCTCCTGGGGTCATGCACGCAATGCGCGCAGAGGAAGCCACCTGCTAGGGGGTCCAACCCTCCGCTGCAGTCCATAAAAGTTTCCCGGGTTAACGAGCTCGTCGCTCTGGACATACTTGGCCCATTTCCCGCTACACCCAGGGGCAATAGGTATTTACTAACGGGGGTTGAATACTTCACGAGATGGCCTATGGCCTGGCCCCTGGCGAACCAGTCGGCAGCAGCCATCGCGGAGGCCTTTGTCCAGGGCTATGTCCTCGACAAGGGTGCTCCGGAACGGCTGCTTACTGACCAGGGTAGGAATTTTTCTGGTAAACTCCTACGTGAGGTGTTGCGACCTCTTGGGTACGGAGAAGGTTCGGACCTCTCCGTATCACCCACAAACTGACGGGATGGTGGAACGGCTGCATCGGACCATCACGTCCATGCTGTCCCAGCAGGTGTCGGTATCCCAGACGGATTGGGACCTCCGCATAGCCGGTGTGTTGCAGGCCTACAGAATGGCTCCCCATGCGGCCACCGGATTTTCCCCTTTCTTTTTAATGTATGGGCGCGAAGTTAACCCCCCTGTGGCGACCCAGCTGAAGCTCTCGGCGCTCCAGGCGAAGTCTAATTTGTCCGAACACGTTAAATTTAACATCGCTCAATTGTCTGAGGCGCGGGAAGCGGCCGTGCAAAATTCTGAACTCCGCCAGAAGGCGAACGAGAGGCTTCGGTTGGGGCGGGTGCAGGTGGTCAAATGGAAACCAGGGGACAGGGCGTGGTTGCACTGTCCCCAGGTGCCGCTGGAAACCTCGTCAAAATTGGTACGGCCGTGGCGGGGGCCAGTGGAGGTCGTACAGGTCTTGCGGCCGCAATGTGTTCGCGTCAAATGGGGGAGGCGCCGGTGGTATGTGCACCCCTCAAGGTTGAAACCATTCATCGCGCCGCCCCGTGGTTCACACACACACACGCATGGCCAAACGTGTGAGGGTTCCGCCGACTCCCCGACGTCGCTTAACTCGCCTAACCCGACATCAACTGTTCCGTCCCCAGGCGCAACAGGAGTGACGGGTCCACACCCACCAACCCCTCCCGGAGGGGTCGGGGGTCACTCGGCAGCGACGCCTGACTCTCTTGCACCCGGACCGTCAACAACCGTCACTGAGCGTGCCAGGACGGGCCCTTGTGACGGGCCCGCCGCGAGAACGCGCGCCAAAACGCGCAGACTATTGTGAGGTCGGCCGTTGGGGGGCCTTGCGGACAATGGGAGGGGTGGCGTCCGGAGTGTGTGTATATATGTTGGTTTTGGGGTATTTATTCGGGGGGGGTGCGTCGGGTTATTTTTTTTCTCTCTCTCTTTCTCTCTTCTTGTTGTTGTTCTTGTTAAGGTTCTCTTGTTCTTGTTAAAAATTACGCGAGGCACACACACGGGGTTTTCGTGAGGGATGCACCTTTATTCTGATTTTTTTGCAGCCAGGGACGGCTGCGAGCTGTACAGGGGGGGGTGATGTAGAGGTGTAATTGCGCATGGCTACGAATGTTGAGGTGTGATTATGCATGGCCACGGATGGCCAACAAACACAAGGGGCGGGGTTACGGCCGTACACAAGGGTGGCGCTAGCACCGACGTCCGCATGTGTATCCCCCACGGGCCCCCCCTCGGGGGCGAGTCCTATAAAAGGTGATGAGCTCGAGGGCTCGAGGTGGGGACTCAGCTTTAACCAGAGAAGACGGAAGACCAGCTAGTGTAGGCCCCAGAGCTCCCCTGGCTCGCTGTCCTTATAAGGGCCGACCAGGGCAAGCCGGTGGCGTGGCCCCGAGAGCCCAGACGAAGCTGGTCTGGTGACTCAGGGAGCCGGGATCCCAGCTTAACCAAGCTGGGACAGATAGCCTCCCCTAGTCCCGTAGTGGAGGAATTGGTATAGGTTAGAGGGGTTAGCTGTCGAGAATCCCTGTAGCCAAGTGACCTGTAATAACTGTGTTGGTGTAATAAATAAGTGTGCCTCCGATCCTGTCGTCAAGCCTCCATATATACTTACTACACTTGCTTAGGACCGTGCAAATCTTTCGCTCGTTTTTTAACCCACTTCCCGTCATCCAATCGAGCTGACATTTTCCACGCAGACTCGTTGTGTGTGACAATTAATTTTCGTCAATTTTTTTTTCCAAAATTTTACACTGTTTAGGGAAAACTAATTAAATATTTAATTACCAATTGCTTAATACTGGCAGACAATCATCTGACCCATAGATTGCAGCCATCTCAAGCCAGAGGACGAGAGAACTCTAGCCGCCATGCATATAAAGGATTTAGAGTGAAAAACTTTGTTTTTACGGGTTTACTTGTTCATACCTTCGAATGCGCCTGTGCGTGCGTCCGTGGGAAGCGGGAGTGTAGCGGTTTGCATGTTGCGTTACAAACCCGGCGACCCGTGTGTGTGCATGCGTTGTGTGTGCGGCCACCCGGGTTCGATTCCCGTTCACAACCAACACCAGTGACGATTAGCTCAACCGGTCCTGGGCCTCCCCTAGGTCGGCTCGGCCTCCAACAATCTGATAAGCCTATACGGGGGGTGGGATCTTTGCCTCTGTCTTTTGTGTGCAGCTGTGCCCGGGCACTGGCTGTGCGAGCTGCCCCCCACGCTGGGCCCTCTGGCCGTGTCCCGGCTCCTGGACTTTGCCTACTGGGGTCGGCTCGACGCGCACGCTGCCCGCGACCGCTTGACCTTGCACGCCGCGCAGGTGCTCCGCATGACCGGAGCCATCGCCGCCTTCATGGAGCCCGTGAACGGTGCCGCCCTCCTCGCACTCCATGTGCCCACAGTCCCTCCCCTGCCCGCACTTCCTGACCCACAGTGCTCCTCCTCTTTGGCATTCTTATGTCTTTGCCAGTGGAAACAACCGAGCTGTACCAGGGCCGTGACACGGTGCCCCACCCACACATCCTCTACCCACAGTGCCCCACCCACACATCCTACACCCACAGTGCCCCACCCACACATCCTACACCTACAGTGCCCCACCCTCACTCCCACACCCACAGTGCCCCACTTACACATCCTCTACCCACAGTGCCCCACCCACACATCCTACACCTACAGTGCCCCACCCTCACTCCCACACCCACAGTGCCCCACCCACACACCTACAGTGCCCCACCCACACTCCTACACCCACAGTGCCCCACCCACACTCCTACACCCACAGTGCCCCACCCACACTCCTACACCCACAGTGCCCCACCCACACTCCCTACACCCACAGTGCCCCACCCACACTCCTACACCCACAGTGCCCCACCCATACTCCTACACCCACAGTGCCCCACCCACACTCCTACACCCACAGTGCCCCACCCACACTCCCACACCCACAGTGCCCCACCCACACTCCTACACCCACAGTGCCCCACCCACACACCTACAGTGCCCCACCCACACATCCTACACCCACAGTGCCCCACCCACACTCCTACAGTGCCCCACCCACACTCCTACACCCACAGTGCCCCACCCACACACCTACAGTGCCCCACCCACACTCCCTACACCCACAGTGCCCCACCCACACTCCCACACCCACAGTGCCCCACCCACACTCCTACACCCACAGTGCCCCACCCACACACCCTACACCCACAGTGCCGCACCGACACTCCCTACACCCACAGTGCCCCACCCACACACCTACAGTGCCCCACCCACACTCCCACACCCACAGTGCCGCACCCACACTCCTACACCCACAGTGCCCCACCCACACACCCTACACCCACAGTGCCGCACCCACACTCCCTACACCCACAGTGCCCCACCCACACTCCTACACCCACAGTGCCGCACCCACACTCCCTACACCCACAGTGCCCCACCCACACATCCTACACCCACAGTGCCCCACCCACACTCCTACACCCACAGTGCCCCACCCACACTCCTACACCCACAGTGCCCCACCTACACTCCTACACCCACAGTGCCCCACCCACACTACTACACCTACAGTGCCCCACCCACACTCCTACACCCACAGTGCCCCACCCACACTCCTACACCCACAGTGCCCCACCCACACTCCTACACCCACAGTGCCCCACCCACACATTCCACACCCACAGTGCCCCACCCACACTCCTACACCCACAGTGCCCCACCCACACTCCTACACCCACAGTGCCCCACCCACACTCCCACACCCACAGTGCCCCACCCACACTCCCTACACCCACAGTGCCCCACCCACACTCCTACACCCACAGTGCCCCACCCACACTCCTACACCCACAGTGCCCCACCCACACTCCTACACCCACAGTGCCCCACCCACACATCCTACACCCACAGTGCCCCACCCACACTCCCTACACCCACAGTGCCCCACCCACACTCCTACACCCACAGCGCCCCACCTACACTCCTACACCCACAGTGCCCCACCCACACATCCCACACCCACAGTGCCCCACCCACAAATCCCACACCCACAGTGCCCCACCCACACTCCTACACCCACAGTGCCCCACCCACACTCCTACACCCACAGTGCCCCACCCACACTCCTACACCCACAGTGCCCCACCCACACTCCTACACCCACAGTGCCCCACCTACACTCCTACACCCACAGTGCCCCACCCACACTCCTACACCCACAGTGCCCCACCCACACTCCTACACCCACAGTGCCCCACCCACACTCCTACACCCACAGTGCCCCACCTACACTCCTACACCCACAGTGCCCCACCCACACTCCTACACCTACAGTGCCCCACCGACACTCCCTACACCCACAGTGCCCCACCCACACTCCTACACCCACAGTGCCCCACCCACACTCCCACACCCACAGTGCCCCACCCACACTCCTACACCCACAGTGCCCCACCCACACTCCCACACCCACAGTGCCCCACCCACACTCCTACACCCACAGTGCCCCACCCACACTCCTACACCCACAGTGCCCCACCCATACTCCTACACCCACAGTGCCCCACCCACACTCCTGCACCCACAGCGCCCCACCTACACTCCTGCACCCACAGTGACCCACCCACACTCCTACACCCACAGTGCCCCACCCACACTCCTACACCCACAGTGCCCCACCCACACTCCTACACCCACAGTGCCCCACCCATACTCCTACACCCACAGCGCCCCACCTACACTCCTACACCCACAGTGACCCACCCACACTCCTACACCCACAGTGCCCCACCCACACTCCTACACCCACAGTGCCCCACCCACACTCCTACACCCACAGTGCCCCACCCACACTCCTACACCCACAGTGCCCCACCTACACTCCTACACCCACAGTGCCCCACCCACACTCCTACACCTACAGTGCCCCACCCACACTCCTACACCCACAGTGCCCCACCCACACTCCTACACCCACAGTGCCCCACCCACACTCCTACACCCACAGTGCCCCACCCACACATCCCACACCCACAGTGCCCCACCCACACTCCTACTCCCACAGTGCCCCACCCACACTCCTACACCCACAGTGCCCCACCCACACTCCCACACCCACAGTGCCCCACCCACACTCCCTACACCCACAGTGCCCCACCTACACTCCTACACCCACAGTGCCCCACCCACACTCCTACACCCACAGTGCCCCACCCACACTCCTACACCCACAGTGCCCCACCCACACTCCTACACCCACAGTGCCCCACCCACACATCCCACACCCACAGTGCCCCACCCACACTCCTACACCCACAGTGCCCCACCTACACTCCTACACCCACAGTGCCCCACCCACACTCCTACACCCACAGTGCCCCACCCACACTCCCACACCCACAGTGCCCCACCCACACTCCTACACCTACAGTGCCCCACCCACACTTCTACACCCACAGTGCCCCACCCACACTCCTACACCCACAGTGCCCCACCTACACTCCTACACCCACAGTGCCCCACCCACACTCCTACACCCACAGTGCCCCACCCACACTCCCACGCCCACAGTGCCCCACCCACACTCCTACACCTACAGTGCCCCACCCACACTCCTACACCCACAGTGCCCCACCCACACTCCTACACCCACAGTGCCCCACCCACACTCCTACACCCACAGTGCCCCACCCACACATCCCACACCCACAGTGCCCCACCCACACTCCTACACCCACAGTGCCCCACCCACACTCCTACACCCACAGTGCCCCACCCACACACCTACAGTGCCCCACCCACACATCGTACACCCACAGTGCCCCACCCACACTCCCTACACCCACAGTGCCCCACCCACACTCCTACACCCACAGTGCCCCACCCACACTCCTACACCCACAGTGCCCCACCCACACACCTACAGTGCCCCACCCACACTCCCACACCCACAATGCCCCACCCACACTCCCTACACCCACAGTGCCCCACCCACACTCCTACACCCACAGTGCCCCACCCACACTCCTACACCCACAGTGCCCCACCCACGCTCCTATACCCACAGTGCCCCACCCACACTCCTACACCCACAGTGCCCCACCCACACACCTACAGTGCCCCACCCACACTCCCACACCCACAGTGCCCCACCCACACTCCCTACACCCACAGTGCCCCACCCACACTCCTACACCCACAGTGCCCCACCCACACTCCTACACCCACAGTGCCCCACCCACACTCCTACACCCACAGTGCCCCACCCACACATCCCACACCCACAGTGCCCCACCCACACATCCCACACCCACAGTGCCCACCCACACTCCTACACCCACAGTGCCCCACCCACACATCCCACACCCACAGTGCCCCACCCACACTCCTACACCCACAGTGCCCCACCCACACATCCCACACCCACAGTGCCCCACCCACACTCCTACACCCACAGTGCCCCACCCACACTCCTACACCCACAGTGCCCCACCCACACTCCTACACCCACAGTGCCCCACCCACACTCCTACACCCACAGTGCCCCACCCACACTCCTACACCCACAGTGCCCCACCCACACTCCCACACCCACAGTGCCCCACCCACACTCCCTACACCCACAGTGCCCCACCCACACTCCTACACCCACAGTGCCCCACCCACACTCCTACACCCACAGTGCCCCACCCACACTCCTACACCCACAGTGCCCCACCCACACTCCTACACCCACAGTGCCCCACCCACACTCCTACACCCACAGTGCCCCACCCACACATCCTACACCCACAGTGCCCCACCCACACTCCCTACACCCACAGTGCCCCACCCACACTCCTACACCCACAGTGCCCCACCCACACATCCCACACCCACAGTGCCCCACCCACACTCCTACACTCACAGTGCCCCACCCACACTCCTACACCCACAGTGCCCCACCCACACTCCCTACACCCACAGTGCCCCACCCACACTCCCACACCCACAGTGCCCCACCCACACATCCCACACCCACAGTGCCCCACCCACACTCCTACACCCACAGTGCCCCACCCACACTCCTACACCCACAGTGCCCCACCCACACTCCCTACACCCACAGTGCCCCACCCACACTCCTACACCCACAGTGCCCCACCCACACTCCTACACCCACAGTGCCCCACCCACACTCCCTACACCCACAGTGCCCCACCCACACATTCCACACCCACAGTGCCCCACCCACACATCCCACACCCACAGCGCCCCACCCACACTCCTACACCCACAGCGCCCCACCCACACTCCTACACCCACAGTGCCCCACCCACACATCCCACACCCACAGTACCCCACCCACACTCCTACACCCACAGCGCCCCACCCACACTCCTACACCCACAGTGCCCCACCCACACATCCCACACCCACAGTGCCCCACCCACACTCCCTACACCCACAGCGCCCCACCCACACTCCTACACCCACAGTGCCCCACCCACACATCCCACACCCACAGTGCCCCACCCACACATCCAACACCCACAGTGCCCCACCCACACTCCTACACCCACAGTGCCCCACCCACACTCCTACACCCACAGTGCCCCACCCACACATCCAACACCCACAGTGCCCCACCCACACTCCTACACCCACAGTGCCCCACCCACACTCCTACACCCACAGTGCTCCACCCACACTCCTACACCCACAGTGCCCCACCCACACTCCTACACCCACAGTGCCCCACCCACACTCCCTGTGCCCACGGTGCCCTGCCTGCACTTCCTATACCCACAATGCTCCTCTTTAGTACTCGTACACGTTTGCCACTGGAAGCAACTGAGACGTGCCAGGGCCGTGCCGAGTCAACCTGACACGGCTCGGCAGGCGCCAGGTTGCTTTTCCACTGCAGAAGCCGAGCCGCTGACGTCGGACGCAATGAAGCGGCAGAGACGCGTCCTCACGGCATGCTGACCGATGTCACGCACGACGAATGAGTCGAGACGTACGTATACAACGCGGTAACTCTGTTGGCACGGTTTAATTTGTCACGAGCGCCAATTCGTTCGGAATTCTGCTCTTCTGACTCCACAGTTGGGGCCGACAGAGGTGGGGCTACCCCTAGCGAATTCAACGACACCACCGACGACGACGACGGTAACGGCACGAGGAGTAGCTCGGCTCCGCCTCGAGCGCGCGGAGTTCCGGCACCTCGGCACGGGCGTCCGCAGAAACGTCCGAGGACTATCCCGGTGCCCTACAAGGACTCCACGGCTGCTGAGGACCTATGGCCGGCCAATAACGTGCCCGCACCGGCAGAATCGAAGGGGGACCCCCCCCCAGCCAGGACCTTACAGGCGTCCAGGAATATGCCCGTGCTGGCAGAGCCGAAAGAGGACCGATCGAAGCTCCAAAGGGTGTCCAGGAAAGTTCCAGCGACGGCAAAGTCCACGGACGACTCGCCCGAGACCCCACAGGTGGCCAGAAAAGTGCCGATGCCGGTGGAGTCGGCAGAGGACCTACGGAAGACCCCAAGGGCGTCCAGGAAAGTGTCCGTGTTGGCGGAACCAAAGGAGGCCTGCCCGGCCAAGGTGGCACCACCTGCAGCCAAGCAAGTGCCAGAATCCGAGGACCCAAGGGAAGAATCGCCGCTGCCTGCCGAGACCCCGCGGCCAGCCAGGAAAGCGCCAGCGCCCGTGGATGAACTCGAGGTGCCCCCTGCTAAGACCACACGGATGGCCTGGAAAGTAGCGGTTTCCGGGGAATCACGGGAGGTCCCACGGGCGTGCGAGGAAATTGCTGGCGAAGCCCAGTTGGTGAAGCGTGTGTGCCGCGATGAGGTTTCGCTTGCCGTGAGTGTTTTTATTTTTTTAACACAACTTGCTATGCAAAACAATAGACTACCTGGCCATAAGTAATAGTGGGCGGAGCCACTTTGACAAAGGGCGGAGCTACTTGGACAGTGGGCGGAGCTACTTGGACAGTGGGTGGAGCTACTTGGACAGTGGGTGGAGCTACTTGGACAGTGGGTGGAGCTACTTGGACAGTGGGTGGAGCTACTTGGACAGTGGGTGGAGCTACTTGGACAGTGGGCGGGGCTACTTGGTTTAGTGGGCGGGGCTGATGAAGGGCGTGTCCCAGTTGAGTTTAAGAAAAATGCTGTAGCCTTTGCCAGAGAATAATGGTGAGAAAATTAAGTATTTAATCACGTGCAGAACTACACACAATGCCAGTCACCGGGGTTTGATTCCCTGCTGTGGACAATATCGGTGGCAAGTGGGTGTGAACCTGTCCTGGACCTCTCCTAAGTTGACTGAGACATGAGTACCTGGTGCCGTTTATGAATGTCTAGTGAGACAAAGGTGGCCAGACGTGATCCAAGGTCACGTTACCCATCATGTGCGTGTTTGCCTTAATGGATGCTCACTAACAGCACCAACCCCAACAGACTGTTAAAGGCGATATGGGGGATCTTTGTGTGTGTGCGCGTACATTGGTGTTGTTGTCTTGTTTTCCTGAAGCTGCCTGGACCCGCAGCTCCAAATGTCATCTTGCAGAATCCTCAAGGTACCAGCAACACAACCCTAGCTCTGAGCCTAACCTCACACTCGCACTGACACGAACTCTTCCTCTATCACTAGGACTGACACCAACACACTGACTCTAAATTACTGACACTCGCACGGACGATAACTCTGGCACTGATTATAACCCTCACCTTAAGCATAACCTCAACCCTAGCCATGCATGCCACTGGCCTAGCGCTAGCCTAAACCAAAGCTTGCAGCTAACATAACAATAAACGCTAGCTCTGAATCTACACCTCGACCAAACCCCTCCTGTTTAAATCCGATGCAAGTCACAGTTTGATGTCCATTCTTTCTGATAACTTCACTTGCAATCGTATTGGACACCTCTCTTTGTCTGTTTATATATCGGTGCGATGGTCATCATATATCTGTTTGATGTTTGCCATAACTTAAATTTGTAATTGTAATGGTCTGTCTGCGGATAATCGATAGCAGGAGCCCACTTGCACTGCAGGGAATTTATTACTTTGACGTTTGTGCAATATTCTCGATGTTCTCACGTGACGCGGTTGTTTTTGTGCCGGTTTCTATTTTGCTTCATTCCTGCACTTTATCTTTCTCATTCTGCTGTCGTCAATTTTGTTGACCCAGGTCACTCGCACTCGCAAACGAGAAGCCACATTCTGCTCTCTCGAGATCCCCGTTTAAACAAAATAATCTTGAAACGTGAACCATCCCCCTAGCCTCACCCCCAGCCTATCCCTCACCCCCCCAACCGCCGCTGACCCCCGCCGCCTCTGCCTGCCCCGCGCGTCGCCTACTAGATCTGAGCGATGAAAACGATGGCGCCACGATGAACGTCGCCGCAGCTACGCCGGACGCGGACGGGGCAGCCGCCTTTGCGTTCGTCAAAGGGTGCGGGGCCACGGTCGACACGGACGTGGCCTTGGCGGCTTTTTCGGCGGCTTCGGCGGCGGTGGAAGCGCACGCGGCTGCGGCGGACGCGGGATGCAGGAAGAGGACGACTTCGCGGAAGAAGGCGGCGGAATCGGCAGCCGCCGCGGGAAGCAAACGGTCAAGCGGGCAGAGGCCCAGACGCCCCAGAGTGAGGACCCCTGGCGGCGAGGAGCCTGCCGTGAGGGAAGAAGAGGTGAGGCTTTCACGGGGGCCGGTCGTCCACATGTCCTTGTGTGTGTCTCTCTGCGTGTTGGCCCATATTTGTGTCTGCGTAGATGTCTCGGTGTAGTCTGTGTATTTATCTGTGTGTCTGTATCTCCGTGTGTGTGTATCTCTCTTTGTGTGTCTGTGTATCTCTCTGCGGTTGTCTGTTTATCTCTCTGTGTGTCTGTGTATCTGTGTGTTTGTGTGTATGACTGTGTCAGATGGAATGATGTGGTACGAGAGGATATGGAGCTCGGTTGACTTGCAAATAGCTGGTATCACTGTGGAGGAGGTTACTGGGCAGGTAGAGGCAGATGCCCTCCAGCAAAAACGGAGGGCGGAGGAGCGACGCTCACAACAACGAGCGGAGTGCCAGGAGATTAAAACACAGCAAGCTGCCACAGTAGGGGGCACAGGTGGTGCATCGGCCAATGGTTTCAATCAGTCAACCCATGGCACCTGGGTGTGTCCCGTGCCCTCCTGGCAGCGGTCCTTGCACATAGTCTGGCACGAGGGCCATGGTGACGTCACCGGCACTTCGTGGCAAATGGCAGTTGGTGTTGTGTCTGTGTATCTCTCTGCCTCTGTGTGTCTGTGTATCTCTGTGTGCTTCCGTGTATTTATCTGTGTGTGTACCGTATTTTCCCGCATATAGCCCGCATACGCATGTAACCCGCAGACGCATATACCCCGCAAAAATTGCGTTTTGTGTAAACAAATTTCAGATAGCCCGCACCTCCATATACCCCGCATGCATTCATATCTTTAATGTCGTTACCGCAGCTTAATTCCATCATATTAATACAAAGTTTACATTTGTAATACATTCCACTATCAATTGTTAACATTAAAATCATAACGTGCACAAAGAAAACAAACTAACCGGAAAACAGTGAACTTAAAACAGTAAATAAGTAACAAAAGTAAATATCCAATAAATAAGTAACACATAACTGGTAGATAAGTACAGTTTTGTTTCAAACTTCCAATGGCTCTGTTGCCGGGAGGCAGTGGCGTTACCGTAGTGCCGCTACTGGACCGGTAGCTACCCCTGTACAGTTTCAGCACTGGTAGATTGCGCACTGCGCAGACAATAGCGGCACTCCGGCAACGCCATTGCCTCCTGGCAAGAAAGCCATTGGAAGTTTGAAACAAAGCTCATGGTCGCGACTGTATAGTGCTCAGCCAATAGCAGCGGCCTAAGGGACTCGGCAATTATGATTCCGCGACTGGTAGACGCTTGTTAAGGCCCTTCCCATTGTGCAATCCATAGCCTCTGCTGAAACTTTCGCATCCCCCTACAGCCACTGAAAGTATTACGGTAAACAAAGTGCGCCCACTTCAAACATTGTCGTTTCATTGTACAAACAATTCGAAACATTTAAAACGTGATAACATGTGCAATTTTAGTGTGAGTGGTTTATTCAGCAGTGCTTTAGTCAAAGGTAAGTGTTGCATAGTGGATAGTCCTACCATGAAAAAACTTAACGAGTTATGACATGTCACACGTGCAAAATATTTTTGGGATAGCCCACACCTCCATATACCCCGCAGGGTCTTGTTTTGTTTGTAAAAGTGGTATACCCCGCGGGTTATATGCGGGAAAATACGGTATCTGTGTCTGTGTATCTCTGTGTGTGTCTGTGTATCTCTGTGTGTGTCTGTGTATCTATTTGTGCGTCTGTGTATCTCTGTGTGTGTATCTCTCTGTGTGTCTGTGTATCTCTGTGTATCTGTCTGCCAGTTCAGTCTACCCCTCTTCCCCCTCCCTACCCCACCCCCCCCCCGTCGCCTTCACCCACTCGGCCACGTAAATTGGTCCCCCACAGTGAGCCGATCATGAGCCGCGTACGGCACGTAACGATCTGTCGTTAAACTGCTTCGACTGTGAACGCGCCAGGGCTGGCCGCTTTGGTGCTCGGCGGTGTGGGGGCGGCAGCGCTTGCCCCATGAGTGATCCCCCCCACCCCATCCCCACCCCCCTCCGCCCCCCTTTGCGACAGAAGTGGCCAAAGTCGGACCCCGGCGGCGCCGAAGAGACCGCGTGGCCTCCCGTGGCCTCCTCGCCCCCCGGCAAGGCCGAAGAGAAACGGCATCAGGTGATGAAAAGGGGGGTGGGTGGGGAGGTATCGGAGGTTTTTTTTGCATTGGGCTGTTGGAGGAAACCCGCTAGGGAGAACCTGGAGGGGAAAGCCGTTGCTGAACAGGGGGATAGCGTACTAACTCCACATGGAGAAACGCGGCCCTTGAGTCAGCAATCGAACCCAGGCCCTTTCAGCTGCGAGGCATGACTGAGTCGCAGACGTTGTCTTGGGAGCAACACTTTTATTAAACTCTTAGCACAACATACTCCAGGCTATTAACACAACACACTCCAGGCTATTGACACAACATACTCAAGGCTATTAACACAACATACTCCAGGCTATTAACACAACATACTCCAGGCTATTGACACAACATACTCAAGGCTATTAACACAACATACTCCAGGCTATTAACACAACATACTCCAGGCTATTAACACAACATACTCCAGGCTATTGACACAACATACTCAAGGCTATTAACACAACATACTCCAGGCTATTACCACAACATACTCCAGGCTATTGACACAACATACTCAAGGCTATTAACACAACATACTCCAGGCTATTACCACAACATACTCCAGGCTATTGACACAACGTACTCTTGTGGTGGTGACCACCCAACTTAGCACGCTATGGCGGAACTAGACACGGTTCCACCATCCCAGTCCGGACCACAAGCTGGGTCCCGGACCGCGTGGCTGGAGGCTTCTTCAAGCTTGACGTAGATCTCCTGCCTCTCCAACAGTAAGAACCCCGAGCCCCTCACAGGGCCCCCCCCCCTTATATGGGGCCGGGCTGGGGCTGGCTCCGCCTCTCGCCCCGCCCACCTCGATCTCTCTCGCCCCCTTGCCCGAAAGCTCTCGAGAGTTCTTCTCGGACCATGTGACCACCCATTGGTCCCCTCCACCGGTGGCCCCCCTCCAGTATCATCCGGTAACATGTCCCCAGGTCGGCCAGAGTATCGTGCCCCCAACGTAACCCCAGCTGGCTGATGCTCTCTCAACGGGCGCCCGCACCGCACGCTGTGCGTGGTGCCACCACACTGAACCAGCGCTCACCCAAGCCCCCACTAGGGCTGGTACTACACCCCGTGTCTGTGGTGTACACACAGCAGTATACATCCCGCCGTGGCCTCGCAGGCCGGCACCACACAGTGACATTCCCAGTCACTACAGTTGCGCGAGGAGGGTCGAGGTATGGGAATTATATGAGGAGGAACGGGGGAGCAGAGTGGTCTGGAGAGATGAGGATCGGGAGGAAGAGGCGACGTCGGGGCCTCGACGTTGTTGCGTGGAGGAGGGGGGCGGCGTTTGTCTTCACATTGGGTGGGGAGAGGCGGGAGGGATTCGGAGTGGTGGTGGGCGCAGACAAGTAGCACGATTCATGGGAGGCCCGGACCGATGTTGGTTGTGTATTTGGTACCTCAGCGGGGGTTTATATGAACCATCGCCAAGCTATATGAGCGGGCGAGAGTGCGGTGGTGAGGGATGGGACTGCATGGTCAGGGAACGCCTTCTTGTGTGCTTTGAGCGAACGCTTTCTACGCGAGGTCTTGTGCTGCCCCCCAGTGTCTTGCAGTCAGCATGTGCTGCACATGCTCATAAGCATGCGCGCGTATGTGAAGTATCCGTGTCGTGCGCTACTCGAACACTTAAATACACGCACACATGCATTAGCAAAGATCACCCATATAGCCTTAACAGACTCGGGAACAAGTGATGTTAGCGTGCACCGATGAAGGCCGGCACGGCACACGAGGGGGTGGGTGGCCAATACCACGCCAAGGCGATGTACGTAGCAGAGCATTTATAGCTCGTGGTGAGACTGGGCCTTAAAGAAGGCCCTATCTGGTGTCGGCCAATCAGTTTCAAAGACAATGCGTGTATAATTATCAGAGCATGTTTGTTTGCATGTTCACAAGTACTGTGTGTGGTTAATACAGACATGATTCCTTGCAAAAGGTTCCTATTTGGTGTTTGAAAGTCTTATGAATTTTTGTGTTTAGTGTCCTTCCCCCGCACCTCCGATTACAGCACGGTTGGCTACGTACGGTGCGAAAGAAGTTCAACACACACACGTGCGCACACACACTCACCACCTCGCCTGCTCTTACCAGTCTTCGTAGGCGCCCGCGTAACAGCACTTGACCCAACAGTCTGTTCAAGGCTACACGGGGGATCCTTTCGTTCTGTGTGTGCCAGTGCACCGAGTGCAGCAAGAGCTACGCGAGCCAGAGGCAGCTGGAGATGCACAAGTCGTTGAAGCACCGGAACGAGGGGCTGTGCATGTGCGACATGTGCGGCGTGACGCTGGGCACCCGGCAGGGACTCCACATGCACATCAAGACCCAGCACAAGTGAGCGGCGTGCTCTTGGTGGCGTGTGCGTCTGTCGGGTCATCTCGGGCAGGTAACCCGCAACACCTGGACCTGTTCCCGTGACCTCGTGCCAGCAGCAGCGGGCACGGCTCGGGCTGGAGAACAGGTGGGCTAATGCGGTGCAGGGGGAGGAAGGTGGAGCCGAGTGGACTGGACGACGACCGGTACCAGCGGTGTTGAGATCGGCCTTTGTGGAGGAGGCTGCTACTGGGCAGTTGGAGGCAGTCCCGTGACCTCCTATCGGCGAGCCTTCGACACTCGCCGCAAAGTGCACATAGCCTGGCACACGTACTATGGTGATGTGTCCCCGTCATTTAGTGGCGAATGGCGGCCATTATTATTGTATGTACGCCTATGAGTGTCTACCTGCGTGTGTGTGTGTATCTGTGTGTATCTGTGTGTGTGTATCTGTGTGTATCTGTGTGTGTGTATATCTCTGTGTGTATCGTGTACGCATGTGTTGTACCCCCACAGGGACGAGCGCACATTTGTGTGCGAGTTCTGCGGGCAGCGCTACGGGCAGCGCACGGGGCTCATGATTCACCGGCGCAAGCACACGGGGGAGCGCCCCTTCTCCTGCTCCATCTGTGGCAAGGACTTCATGTCACGTGGTACGTGCAGGTCTTTAAATAGACCAGTACCGGCCCTCTACCGGCCCAGTATCGACCGTTTACCAGCCCACTACCAGCCCAGTATCTGCCCACTACCAGCACAGTATCTGCCCACTACCAGCCCAGTATCTGCCCACTACCAGCCCAGTATCTACCCACTACCAGCACAGTATCTGCCCACTACCAGCACAGTATCGGCCGTCTTCCACTCCAGTACCGGCTCTCTACTGGCTCCGTATCAACCCAGGAGCAGTCATTACCCATGTCTTGATTGTTCAATGTTGAATGTGCCTTATTATTGAGGGTCTACTGCGTGTTATCTTGGTGTGGTTTTGGGATTATTTAGTTGTTTTTGCTGCCTTGCTCTACCTTGATAAATCTGACGTATTTAATGATTTTACCATTTATATTTAGTTAATTGCCCGCCATTTTTCTGTTTCGTGCTCCTTTCGTCGTGTTTTTGTTGCCCTGTACGAGGACATTTGTGATAAAAGAGCTTCATAGCTCATCGGATTCCTCCTTAAGTCTAAAAATTATCAAAGATTCTGATACCGGCCCGGCACCAGCCAAGTGATGGCCCTGTCGTTGCCATGAACCGCACCACCGATTAGCCCCGCACCTCCGATGATTACGGTTGGCTACGAAAGAAGTTCAACGTACAAACGTACACACAAACCAGCGCAGTACCAACCCTGTTCCGGTGCTCTCCTGGCCCAATACAATACCAAACAATCACCGAGCTCCTATCCTCCTCCTCCCAATCCCGCTCCTCTCCCTCCTCCCCGCACTCCCCGTTCCCTCCACGACCCCCCCCCAACCCCCCGTTGCCGCGTGCAGGAACGATGGCGAAGCACGAGCGCACGCACACGGGCGAGCGCCCGGTCCCGTGTGAGCGCTGCGGCCGAGGCTTCGCTGACCGCGGCTCGCTTGTGCGTCACATGCAGAGCGTGCACTCGGACGGGCCGCTGCTCTCCTGCACACTCTGCTTCAAGCCCTTCAAGTGTACGCACCCCACCGCCCTCACCCACCAGCTCCCCACTCCCTCACCACCCCCTCCTCACCCCCTCCTACCCCCACCTCACCCACCCGCCACGGCACACCACATCCAGTTGTAAATGTGCTTCCCCATTGTTGGATTAATCTTAACTCGTTCCTTACTCCCTGTTAAGGAACGAGTTCCCCACCTCCGTACCAAATCTATGAATACTTCTCAGGACTTTGAGAGATAGCAGCTGCTTGGGGAGGCCTTCACCCAGCAGTGGATCATGGCTGATGACGTTGAGACTTGCTTGCTTAAAGGACAGTCCACCAGCCAGGTCGTGGTGATGGTGGTGGTAATGATACTGTGAGAAGCTATGAGTATGGTGCCACAAGTTTGGATGTTAACTTCACTTGTGTGCTTCTCTCTCTCCTCCGCTCTCCATTCTCTCCTCTGACTTATCACTCTTCACACTCTCCCCTCTTTCTCTCCTGTCCTCTGAACTCTCCGCTCCCTCTGCACCCTCTCTCTCCATTCTCCTATATCTCCTATCCACCCCCCTCTCTCTCCACTCAACTCAGCACTTTTCCCACTCTCTTTCCCATCTCTCTCCCTCATTTTTGATTTCTCTTCTCTCACCCTCCCCCCCTTTCTCTCGTCCCTCTTGTATTTCCTCTCTCCCCGTTTACATTCTGTTTTGTCTCTTTCGTCTCTCTCTCGAGTCTCTCCACACTCTCTCTCCCATCTTCCCCCTCTCTTCAATCTCCTCTCGCATGTCTCTCCCCTATCTCCCCCCCACCTCCTTTTCTCCTTCTCTCCTCTCTCTGCCCCTTCCACCTTTCATCTCCCTTCTGTCTCTCTCATCTCCCTCCACTCTCTTTCCCTGCCCCATCTCTCCCCACCTGTTGCATCTCTCCATGCGTCAGCGAGCGACCAGCTGCGTGCTCACCTCCGCCGGCACACGGGGCAGCGCAAGTTCAACTGCTCTCTGTGCGAATACAAGTTCACTCGTCAGGTGTGGGGGGGGGGGGGGCGGGGGTGGGTGTGTGCGGGGGGGGGGGGGGGGGGCGATGATGAGGGGGGTAACAATGTCACAGCCATCTTCATCGTCACTTTGCGATTGGCATCATCGTCATCCCCATCGTCAGTAGTCTCGCCACTAACGTTGCCATCGGAAACATCGTTATCGGCAGCAGCATCATCATCATCAGCTTCGTCAATGTAATCAATATTCTCGTCGGCTTCATTGGCATCACTGTTGTTGTTACCATCATTTTCGTTAGCATCATTATCTTCAGCTTCGTCATCACCATTGTTGCTATTACCATTGTCATCATCGTTAGATTCAACATCAATCAGGAGCGCCACGGTGTTGTCCCATCATCAATCCCTGCCCCGTCAACAATCCCTGTCAACATCAATCCCTGCCCCGTCAACAGTCCCTGTCAACAACAATTCTTACCCTGTCAACAATCCCTGTCCTGTCCACTCGCCGCGGTGTCAGCTGATGAACACATTTTCACAGCCCTGTCTTCCCCCTCCCCTCCCCCGCACCAGGCCCACCTGCGGCGGCACATGGAGGTCCACGGCCGTGTCACCGACTACTGCCCCCAGTTGCGGCGGCTGCGCACCACCGCTGCCGGTGACCAGGAGAACGCCGCCACCGCCGACTCCTTGCAGCAGCAGCAGCAGTTGCAGCTCCAGCTGCAGCAGCATCTCCCGCCCGGCACGGCGCTCACCGTCCCCGTCGCCGGGCAGCCGTCGCTGCTGACTTACACCATCACTCCGTCTGCACTGAGTGCCAGCCAGAGCCTGGCGCTCGCCGTGGACCTGCTCAACGACGTGAACGGCGAGGGTGGCGAGGTGGCCGTGGAAGAGGTGGAGGAGATGGGCCATGAGCAGCACGAGCACGAGCAGCAGCTGCTTCAGCTGCAGCAGCAGTTTCAGCAGCACCAGCAGCAGCAGCAGGAGGAGGAGGAGCAGCAGGTGGCGGACGTGGCGACGGTGGCCGGTGGGGAAGACCCGGGAGTGGCGCTGCTGCTTAAGCTAGCCGAGCAGAACCCGGGGGACGTGTTCGTGCTGATGCAGTCGTGAGCGGCGATGACTGATGTGAGCGGGGTGGGTGACGACTGGGGGAGAGGTGTAGCCCTGCGTTATCGTCAGCATCGTCATCATCGTCGTCGCCATCATCGTCGTTGCCATCATCACCGCCACCATCATTGTCACCATCATCATCAACGTCGTCAACGAGTATGTTGGGGGTAACGAGGCGCGGCCCCGCAATCGCTTGATCTCGTCACCCTGCTGGGAGAAGGGGCTTCCCCACCAGAGGGCGTTCTAGGGACACGAGCGATATGTTAACAAATGAGAGGGGGGTGGGGGGAGCGAGGGGCCCCCCATTCGGTCCATCCGGCTGCTTTGTCGGTAGCAGATGTGTTTGGGGAACCTCACCCGGGCCAGTGCTTGAGGAGTTTCGGTGAATTCGATTCCACGACGTGTTTATTGCGGACCTGTCCCGGACTGCTCCACCACTATTACAGAGGAGGGTGTATTGGGCCTCCTCTTCCACATTCGCTAGACTCCTTGGAATAGGTAGAAGTACCCACATTTTACGCCACCGCCACATGGACCCATGCGTCGGCAAACTGCTGGGTGAGCAGAGGCAGTGGGGGTTGGGTGGGATTAAAAAAACTTGGCAATTGTTTCGACTGCCGCCCCGGGAGATCAAATGGAATCGGCGACATCTGTATTGCGAGTCCAGCGTGCTCATCAACGTAACTAACCCCATGCTGTTGTCATCGTCTGGGTTGTCATTATCTTCATCACCATTATTTACATCATCATCACCACCATAAATTACTGTCACCAGCACCGCCACCATCGTCAACAGTTTCATCATTGTCACTATCATTGCCGCCCGTTAAAATGTTTTCACGATCGTCATTCTGATCATGATCATCGTCGTGTCAACATTATCACCGCCATTGTCCACATCATTGTCATCTTTGCGCATGGGGGGGTCTGACTTGCCCGGGTGTCAAATGCTGACTTCCTGGGTTCTGTCCGATGATACTGGACGTGGCTTCAATTGAAACGTCGTGTGTCTGATCGGTGAGTGAGCTGAGACAATCGTAATCGGTGTGGCGTTAAAAATTCTCCCACTATAGGGGACAACTTAATTTGTTTTGCCTTTGGGTGGTGGAGGGACTTGACGACACATTTGCCAAGATCCTTTACGCGGTCTAACCCCAAAAATCAAATGTGAACAATTATTATTTTTTCTCGCATTTAAGGTTTTATTCGTTACCAATTTGTACCGGCCCCTGTTCTGTTAATATTTATTGCTATTTTCAATTGTACTCGGCAAATCTTGTCACGAGACTGGAAGCAATATCTATTGGAGACTCTCATGGTTCAAGTTTCTCAAGTAAACGTTTCTTGAACTGGGTGAGATCTCAGGGGGCCAGGATGAGCCTCATTCGCAAGGCTGACCCGGGCATGGTAGCGACGATTGCTGATGCGCGTACAATTTGCGAGCCATTGTCGAATTTGGTAAATTTGGACTGACACAGGCACACAACAAACGTCGTCCTCCTCTCGCGTCCATCGTGAAGCACGCGCCGCCGAGTATCTTTGTCCTTGTCGTCGTCGTGCTCTTCGACGGCGCGGGGTGTCCTTACGGTTAGTACACAACCGTAGTAGTAACCAGGGGCGACCGCTGGATTCGAGCCATGGACCTCTGCAACAAGCGACAAATACACAACGCCCGTGGCCACGCGTCTGTGAGCGAGCCGTCTCACCATCAGACAACTCAGCAAGGAAGCTGGACATCGACTGCGAGAGAATGGCCTGCCGAACGTGGGATGGTATTTATTTTGTTTTTGTTGTTCCGATGGCTTTCTACTTCATCGCCGTGCCATGATGATAGGAACTCTGCGTTCAATCCCACCGGGCATCGCGATTTGCAATCCGTTACGCGTCCCGCTCCGCCAACCAATCGGCTGCCAGGACAACGACCCTGACCCAACGTGGATGCCGCCGTTGCACAACGCCGAGTCTCCTGCAGGGCTGAAGTTGGATATTTACGTTATTAATGCTGACGAATGTTTGATAAAGTGATGCGAGTGTGATCTTTGCACGCATTTATTTTTGCGAACGTGTTGAGAGTGCGTGTAGGTAATTGTTTGAGTGCGTTTGCCTTGCTTGGTGATGTTAATGTTTCTGAGAAAGTGTAATTTATTCGCGTGCGCATGTGAAGCGTGTGCCATGCCGGCCTTAATTGCTTGCTTAACAGTATTAAAAAAGGCTTTCTGATTTCGTCTATTTATGAACAGTGGGGTTCAGTGTGTGGGAGAGTATTTGTACGCGATTTGGGCACGCGTGTGTCTGCGTGTTGGGTATCGATGTAGGTGTTTTTTTTACGGCTCGAGAAATGCTTTTAATAAGTAATATTTAAAAATACGTTTTTAAAAACACGCTTTAATGAAATGTACCGTACTCGTAATGGCAGAACTTCACGACTCCAGGAAGTGGCCGCGAAGCTTTCCATAACGTAAGGGGTGTGGACAATTAGACCAAAGCCGAAACATAACATATAAAAATGAATGTTTAAAAATGTTTACATTTTTAACGATAGACTATAGTATTGTCATCAGTATGACAAGTATACCAAGTTTATAGTCGATACCACATTTCGAAGTGGGTTTAAATTGAGTTACAAGATTTGAGGATATGACAACAGCAGACCCAGTGAGTTAATAGAAAGCGTGTAGTAGTAGTAATCAGAAGGGGCTGCTGTTTGGGGATAACCAAAGCGAGCAATTGCCCCTCTCTCCCTCGCGACGTTTCGCCTCCAGCGTGCGCGCGTGTGAGCGCACGTAGGGAGCGGTGGTGCATCGGTTGGCGCGCTGCGCTACGAACCCGGTGACCCAAGTTCGATTCCCGCTCGCGGCCAACTCTTGACGATTATCTAAACCGGTCATGGGCCCCTCCCCTAGATCGACTCGGCCTCGAATGAGTACTTGGTATGGTGTGTAGTAAACATCACCACTGGGGAGACAAAGGTGGCCGGGCATGGTGTTGGCCACCCACCCCCTCGTGAGCCCTCATAGGTGCTCGCTAACAGCACTTGCCCCAACAATCTGTTAAGGCTACACGGGGGATATTTGTGTGAGAGCACACACGGAGGGCAGAGGAGCGACGCTCACAACAACGAGCGGAGCGCCGGGCGGATAAAACGCAGACAGTTTGCATGTGTGGGAAGCACAGCTGGTGCATCTCTGCCGGTCATCTCAGTCAACCCATGGCACCTGGGTCTGTTCCGGCTTTTGGCGAGCCATTGAAAGACGGTCACTGCATCGCACGGCGCTTTCAGTTGCGCTTCTGCGACCGTCTGTTACGCTCTTCCAATTTAAAATCGAGATTGACCAAATCATTTCTTTCGAACTGCTCTTTGTGTTTAGTTTGTGGTTCTTCCCCCGGCACCTCCGATGCAGGCGGTTGTCTACTTACGGTGGCGAACTAAGTTCAACGGACGCACAGCGGACATTGGCCGCTTCACGCGGACTCAAAGTGCACCGAGCATGGCACGGTCGCCGTGGTGGCGAGCAGCGGCAGCGGTTGTTGTTGCGAGTGTCCACGTGTGCGCGTGTGGACGTTGATATGGCGGACTTGGGCAATGTTCGCATCGCCCAAACGTAAACTCCCGCAGGGCATCGGAAATTGGACAATTCACAAAATAAGTAACATTTTAAAAAACTTTAAAAAACACGCTTTTATGAAATGTACTAGTAATGGAAGTGGCCCCGAGGCTTGCCATAACGTAAGGGGGACCGTGGGCAATTACAGGCAACGTCAGTTGAGTGTGGACAATTAGACCCAAGCTGAAACATAACATTAAAAATAATGTTTAAAAATATGTTTTTTCTTTTCGAATATAGTATTGTCATCAGTATGACGTAAGTATACACAGTTTGCAGTCGATACCACATTGGGAAGTGGGTTAAAATTGAGTTACAAGATTTGAGGATAAAACGACAACAATAGAGTGAGTTAAATGAAAGCGTGTTAAAATGTACGAAGTCGTTCGGCACTCGGGGGGGGGGTATGGAGTAGGGGGGGTAGGGTGGTGGAATAGGGTGGGGGGTGTGGGGAGGAGGTGGAGGAGGGGAGGAGTAGGGGGGCATCAGACCAGATATGACCCAAATGAAAATTATTCAGGAACTCGGCTCTTTTGTTCTCACCCTGGTTGAACAGAATGTACACGTGTTTGCAAAACGTGGTCCGTGGAAGTTGACAATACAGAGCTACTTTTCACATCCCTACGACTACCGCTCATCAACACCAGGTGGTGCTGCTACTGCAACCATTTCAGAGTTGAAATTCGCGATCTACGACCGAATTGAATCAGAGTAGATTTCTTTTGTCGGGTTTGTCAACTTAATGAAGACGGTCAATTCTGTGTCGTAAGGTCCTCCACCACCCAACACCGCGAAACTAAAATTGAATTGATAATTGTTTTTTTTACCCTTCTATCTGGCAACAAAACTGACACCTTTTTTACAAGGAGTCATGTTTGCATAGATCACAATACCTGCAGTCATAATGCAAACAAAAAACATAACTGATAATGTATGCACTGTCCTTGAAGTTGATTGGTCCACACCCGAGACAGCTTTCTTTAGAGCCTAGTCTCACATGGGTTGGACCAGATGACGCCAAAAGGCGCACAACTCAAAGACAATGCACCATCAGAGTATGAGAGCTCGGGGTAAGCATTTACACCATTGGAACCTCATTTGCCAGTAAAAAATATGATAATTGTTTTTACCCTTCTATCTGGCAACAAAACTGACACGTTTTTATAATTATCATATTTTTTACTGGCAAATGAGGTTCCAATGGTGTAAAATTGAATTACCACGTGTATAAATGGTGAACGACGCCTCCAATTGAGTCGGAGAGCAATCCTCACGGAGAAACGTAGCAATTGGACACGTGGCTTATCGTTATTTTATTTAATGTTACAGAGAATGCCTCCCATATTTTTATTTACAATTGAGGTTGCATTTTTGAAAATTTTAATTGTTTGGCAACGTCAACGGGTGTTGGAGGGTCTTGCGACAACAATTTTTTTTTGCCAGATCATTGTGGCGTGACCGAAAAATCTATTATTAATTATAATGTTGCCGTACTGAAACCCCGCGTGTTATGTTGGCCACATTTTTATGAGACCAGAAAACTCGCAACAATTGAGAAACCTTGTTTCATCGCAACTCATTTTGTGCACGAGACTTTGGTTCTTCGGCTCTCGATGTTAGTTCGCTGGTCTCTGTGCCAGTCGATGTGGACTCTTGTGTGAGCCCTTGGTAACCCGGGGTCGGGATCCATCAAACTCGGCTCAGCGGTTGGTCGGGCGGCTGAATCCCGGACTCGAACCCACAATGTCAGCGGTGCCCGGCCTCCGTGGCTCCCGGCATGGCCACAATGACCCCTCCCCCCTGGGAACACCCCCCCACCCTTCCACGGTATTCAATGACTGACGGCTCCAGCTCGGCTCCAGCTCGGTGATTTGATTGGCTGCTGAGGGAGGTGGTCGCGTGCTTGTTGCTATGCCCAGGAATTGTCACTTGACTAGTTTTTCAACTAAATAAAATACAAAGCCCCGAGGCCAGTGGTTCTTCACCTTTACTGGAGCCTTGATTCTCAATTGTTAAAACATGTATAATGTTAATAATAAAAACAGAGTTTTTATGAAACAAAGTGGTTGTATTTCCGCCCCCAGAAAGGGCATCTCGCAACCCCAGGGGGTGCAGCGTGCGCCCAGGTCAAGAACCACTGACCTATAATAGAACACCGGTCGCCACCAATCTCACCACGCAGGCCACCAACATCGCAGCCCCCCAGATCCATGTGGGACGCCTTCTGGCGTGCTCTGGTTTACCACTGGTGGTGAGACGAGGCCATGAAGATGGCCGCTGTCTCTGGTGTAGGCCAATCAGTTTCAAAGACGATGCGGACATTATTGTTATCAGAGCATGGTTGCATGTTTTGTCACAAGTAGTGTGTGGTGAGTGCAGACTTTTGATGCCTTGCAAATGGTATCTTGTGTTTGAACATCTTAACACAACTCCTGTTTTTATTGCCAGAAAAGTCAAAACTTATTCTTATTTTTGATATTCGCCTCACGCTTATCGAACATGCTGTTTGTCTTGTATTTAATTTGCAGAGCAGAAGCCGATGGGGTAGCGTTCAGAGCACAACGCGTTTGCGATTTTGCAAGTACGCAGTCCTTTCTGCTTTCGTCTTTTCCCCTTCCCAAGTTTTTGGACATCGCCTTGATAAAAAAAATCTCCGAAGATGGGAACCCCCCCCCACTTCACAAGCCACACCACACACAATCCTGGCTGATGATGACAATGATTCCAATGACGTTACCAAGCCGCGTCCGTCATCTGCCGTCCAGCAGCACACGTGGGAAACGGAGATGAAGACTTGATATTTTCTCCTAGCTATTTTCGTTTGCTATCCGATTAACCGTGCCAGCGAACCGCCGATAACCGGTGGAGGAATCGGTGAATTCATTGGATATTCTAGATTTGAAGCTTTTGTGACTGCAAAGATTCATACTCTTTGTTTTTTTCGGTAAAGTCACGTAGGTAAAATTTTTATGAAATAAATTAAATATTTAATTTATTTTATTTCATTTTATTAAATTAAACATTAAATTAAAAATGTAATAAAATAAATAAAAAAATGTAATTAAAAATGTAATAAAATAAATTAAATATTTTTATTTCATTTTTACCTACGTGACTTTACCGAAAAAACCAAAGAGTATGAATCCCTGCAGTCATAAAAGCTTCAAATCTAGAAAAGGTAAAAATTTAATACAATAAATTAAATATTTATTTTATTTTATTTCATTTTTACCTCTGTGACTGGATATTCTCGTCGGCCCCATGAACTTGTGTCGTAGGCATTAAGTGATAACTTTCCAACGGTTGGAACTGCTGCTGCTGCTGCCCATGTAATTACCACCGCTCATGTTATTACCACCAGGTTCATTATTTAGTCTGTGCCCTAATTCGATGGGAGCGCGCTACGTGCCGTAGTTATATAAGCAGCTTTA